GGCCAAGCAATTGGAACTGATCTGGATTAAGGGACAACCAGGTGAATAAAAAATTAATTGCATGACCTGAGTCAGAGGGTGGTGGTTAATGGTTCACATGTGCGTGGAGTCCTGTGGGGATCTATATGGGGACCTGTGTTTATCAGTGACTGGAGCAGGCAGTGTGGTGCACTCTCATCGTGTTTGCAGGTGATACAACACCAGGGGGGGATGACCAGGTGATAGGCTACGGCAAGGGAATGGCTGGTATTCAGAGATTCCTAGAAGGCAGGAGGAGTGGTCTGTCAAGAACATGAAGATATTCAGCAGGGACAAATGCCAGGTCTTGCACCTGGGAAGGAAAAGCTCCTGGCAGGTATGTAGGGAACAGAGGGGCTTGGGGGAGCAGCTCTGCAGGAAAGGCCCCGAGGGCGCTGGCAGACAGCAAATCCTTGGCAACAAAGGGAGTTGGCCAACAACATCCTGGACTGTATCACCAGGCACATAGCCAGTAGATCAAGACAGTGATTATCCTCCCTGATTATTCAGCATTCCTTGCATCACATCTAGGTTTTAGGTCCACCATACAGAAAAGTTACTGATAAATTGGAGCACTTTCAGCAAACGATGCTGAATGCCCACCATGATGGGCACTTGCCCTACTAGGAGAGACAGCAGGAATTGAGGTTGTTCAGCTTGGAGAAGAGGTGGACTCCCAGTGCCTATGGGGAGGTTATAGAGAAGATGGAATGGACTCTTTTCAGTGATTAAATTGAAACAGGAGTGATTCAGATTAGATATAGGGAAAATTTTTTTTCCCATGACTGGGTGCTGGAAAGGTTATGTGGTTTCTGTCTTCCGAGAATTTCAAGACCCAACTGAATAAAATGCTGAGTAACCTGGCCTGACCACACATCTGAGCCTACTTTGAGGAATAGTTCATACTAGACTTCCTGTGGCCCCTTCCAGCCTGAATTACTCTGTGTTTCCATAGTTCTTGGTTGATTTTCCAGATTCCAGCACTATGGATTTGTACTCTGGAATGATCCTGCTTGAGAAGGGAGGTTGGACCAGATTACCCACAGTGGTCCCTTCCTGACTGATTTTGTGGTTCAGCCTGTAGGTGGAAAGAACACTTGTCAGCAGTTTGGTGGCAGTAGAAGGAGAACTTCCTAATTTCTTTAAATACTGAAGATTTACACCTCATTCCTAAAGATGGTCATCAGTATTTAAACTAATCTCTTATTTTCTATTGCAGTAGGCAAGGGGAGCACATGGTGGGCTATTTTGACTTAAAGAAGAGTAGTGTGTCAGAGGAATTTACCTTATTTGCTAGCTGATGGTTAACAATACAGTTGTTGAAGTTGAATTTAAACCTTTAAATGTCTTTTGGGATTTATTTTTTTAAGTTATTTTAAAACAATTTTGTATTAAGTACGAGTATTGTATTTCTAGAGACTTGCCCTCAGTTTATTTTCATTTTAGTTGTAAAAATAAGCTGTTCTTTCTAGTGGCAAGCTTGAGTCATCACATAACTATGAACAGAGACACTATACAAAGTTTAGGTGGCAGGGACAGTTGCCTCTTCTCTCGCTCCCTAATATACCATTGTTTTCTAACAGGAAATTCCACAAATTAAATGGAAGAGGGAAAAAAAAATAATCATGTTTTTAGAAGTGGCAATGCATACATAAAATGAGTGAGGATTACACTTTCTTCCCAGTATCCATTGCTTGGTTGAGTCAGTTAAGTCTTATTTATATCAGAGGACAAAGTAAAAGTCTGCAGCACTTCCACTGAAGGCATCACTGGATGCCTTCATCTGGTTTTCAAGGTCAAATTAAGTATTTACAATTGATGTTAGAAAACCTGTGTATAATAACTAGACCAAAAAATTTAAATGGTCACTGGAGATGCCTGCTTTTGCTCTCTATGATTTTTTTCATTTAAATAATAAAATGTTTCTTGTAATCCAGAAAAAGTACTACAAAAAAGCATTATCTTAAACGTAGCTCAAGTTCTAAAGGGGAATGTGTCATTTTCAAAAACTGATTATATTCATCTTTGTAGTCATACCTAAGACTTTCAAAACATTATTCAACTGAACAATTTTAAATTGTTTTTTTCCTCTCTCCAATTGTGGAACAACAAGGCCTATGTATGTCGTCGTCATCATGTTGCTTCATTGAAATATTTGCTCACTCTGAGCTGTTGCTTTATTTCTCTTCCCAAGTGCTGAAATGTACTTTCCTCGGTGATACTTTATGATTTACTTTAGGTACCTCTACATTTCACTCCTTTTGGTAGGAATAATCTCTCCTTGAATGGCAAGTTGAATTTCACATGTGCTGCAAATCAAGTCAAAAACATGAAGAGATTTCTAAAACTACTGCAAGTTTGTCACCACTTTCCTTCTGGTAGTGTTAAGGCCTGATCTGTGCAAAAACCTAGTTCAAAAGCAGCTATCTGAAGGTTCTTCAGATGTAGAATTCTTTGTAATGCCATCAAGCAAATTTAGCTTTCTCACTTCTTTGTGCTCTCCAGTTTTTCCTTTCCTGGTACAGGCTTGTGTGATTACTGCGACAAACTATTACTTGTTTTACTAAATGCTAATCCTACTGGTAGACACTAAAGAAGAAAGTTGTAAAATTATGTTGATGGTAAATTGTGTTGAGTGGATGGAACTGTTCTGTGTCTGGCCATGGCTTGTTCTACTTAGTATTAAGCTTGTCAGATCATAATGAGTAAAACATATGTTTTATTTCTAAATATACAACATACCTTGTTTCATGTTTAGGTTTGGAGTGTTTTAAGAGATGGGTGTGAGAGACATTCAGCTTCAGGTTCTTAGACTAACATTTTCAAGTCTTATGTAAGATTAGTGCAGTAAATTTGATTTTTTTTAATTCAAATTCTTACTCTTACTCATAACTTGTAATGGTCACTTACTGTAATAAATAGTAATAGAAATTACTTGCTGGAAACATTGGCGGGGTATAACCCCAACCAGCAACTAAACAGCACACAAATGTTTGTTCACTACTCCTGGTGGGATGGAGGAGAGAACTGGAATTAGCAAACAAAGCAAAACAAGGAATTAATTCACCACTTCCCATGGTTAGGAAGGTGTTCAGCCATTTCCAGGACAGCTGGGCTTTATGACACATAACAGTGACTTGGGAAGACAAAACATCATCACTCCTTCCCTCTTCTTTCCCCCCCAGCTTTATATGAGCATGATGACATATAGTGTGGGATATCGTTTTGGTCAGCTGGGATCAGTTGTCCTGGCTGTGTCACCTCCCAGTTCCTTCTGCCCCCCTGCCTTGTTGCTGATGGGGTGGTATGAGGAGCAGAAAAGGCCACGAGCCAAGCCCTGCTCAGCAGCAACAAAAACATCTGTATGTTATCAACGCTGTTTTTAGCACAATTCCAAAACACAACCCTATACTGCCACTGTGAAGAAAATTAACTGCATCCCAGCCCAAACCATAAATTTTTAATATTAAATGCTATTTTTTATGTAATTGCTTGCCTAATAAAAAACAACAACAACAACAAAAAAACACTTGACATAGTTTAAAAAAAACCAACACAACACACACACTTTATTTATTGTCAGTATTTTAGATGCCAGAATAATTCTGAACTGAGTTATGGTCTGACTTGAACCTGTGCATGTGTCAGGTGAGGCTGTGGGCTGTCCAGTGAGACTTGGAGGATTATTGTTTTCTATTTTGTTTTGCTTGTTCCATCTCTCCACAAAACATGCCATGACAAGGAGGGGGATGGGGGTGTCTTCAGCAAGATAGACTTAGAGTAAATGGAATTAGGTTTGAAGAAGTTGGTTATATCAGAGTGTGTTGTTATATCACTTTTGTGTAAAGAACTGTTAGAATTGGAATGAACTACACACAGGCATGATTAAAAAAAAAGTAGTGTTGCATGTGGAGAGAACTGTGGTTGCCATGAGGATGCAGGCAGGCTTCATTTTGAAATAGTGTCTGTAGGTTGGTTGTAAAAATGGTTATTATTGGTAGAGTGGATGATGTCATCTGTTGTAGGTAGTTACATGAAATACTACCTCATTCTGAGGTTCTGTTGTTTAGTTTCTGAGAAGTAGATTGTGAAGTATGCTTGGTTTTGCAGATAACAGATAATTTACCAGGTAGAAAATTGCCAAATCTTCTAGAGAAGTTATTAAAGGGTCTGTGTTTTTGCACCCATTGTTCAGAGAGACTTTTTGCCCTTTCTGGAATGCTAGGGGAAGTATAGATTCAAATTCCCCATGTCCAAAGAATCTCCTAGGAAGGCAGATTGCAGCCACTGAGATCCCAGGGTAGCTGTTTTGAAGAGGCTGTCATTGTTAGCAAGGCTCAAACACTGTCAACATTGCTCTTTAACTCTGTATGTGGCTCCTTCTAGTATCTGCTTTTATTTCTTCCTATCTTCCTTAAAATAGAAATAATTTAAAATCCTACTTAAATGTGAAAATACACTGCGTCTGTTGTCAGTATCTAATAAGATTAACATAATGGAAGATAGTAGGCTTTTTTGAGTCTTCTTAGACTATGATTTTGCAGTCTTAGACTGCAATTGTGTTTAGTAAATTTGTGTTCATAGAAAGTATGCTTTTCCCAAGGACTTCTGTAAAAGTTTTAGTAATAGTAATATTGGCAACAGAAAATCAAAACCAGAACTGTTCAGCAAGCAAGAAAGAAAAAGCAGATGAAAGAAGATGAAAAAAGAATGAGTAATATCAGAATTGCTTTAAGCTGCGTGAAAGACATCAGTGCGTAGTACAGTAGGAGAGGAGAATAATTTTTTAAAGAGTTAAAGAAGTCTATAATTCAAAATACTTAATATTCTGTCAAGTTACATAAACTGTAGTCTTGTTAAACTCATCTTTTCTTTGAAATACTAAAGGAGGTTGCTAAGGGGTGGGGGGAATGTCAAGTGAAATGGCTGCAATGATGTTATGCAACAGAGTTAATTTCGACCTACGCTCTGCTTCTCTGCAGAAGAAGTTGAAGAAGAGTCTGAAACTACAATTGAGGTTGATTTGACTGATAAACAGAAACATCAGTTGAAGCACAGAGAGCTTTTCCTTTCTCGACAGTATGAGTCCCTTCCCGCAACACATATCAGGTAAGAAGTGGTAAATACCATTTATCTGTGTGTTCTGCTGGGGTCAATTGCCTGCCAGTAGCCCACCTGCTTGAACACATCAGTCTTTGTCTTGCAAAAGGGTATAATTGATCTTACCTAAGTTGTGTCAGATTGTCCCATGAACTGCTTTACAAGCACCTTTGGTTTTTCCTTCTGTTTCTTGATGTTTGAGCCTTAGAAGGGACAAGGGTCTCAGAACTCTAGCTTGCCAATTAGAGCAAAAGTTGATAATTTGGTATAAAATCAGTCTGTTACTACTTTGGAGGAGTTATTTTTTTACTCTGCTGACCAGAGGAACTTTGACCGTTTTGCCTGGCCAGGGAAATTGCAGATGGGCTTGGAAAGGAGGCAGTGACTCAGTGATCGGGTCTGCATTTTAGGGCTGCACACACTTTAAAGTAAAATTACCTCAACTTACTTCAGTAATTGTGAAGAAGTCATGTTTCTTTGGCTAAATGTTGCAATAGCATTTCAAGTGTTGTTTTAAATTGCCCTAATGCTAAAGTAGAAAGAAGCTTGCTAAAGCTCAAAAAGAATTTGTTGACTTCTGTCTGTAAATGTTGCAAATACTCATGTTATCTCTGATTTAGTAGTCAAGCAAAATTTTTTTTTTTGGTGTGTTGGTACGGAGAGGATAATGAACCTAGAAATGGAAAAGAAAGAGCACAGTGACAAAGGGGAGTGTAGCTAAGTGTGAAACAAGGCTTCTTACGTTGCATTCTGAAGGAATTTTCATTTTCTTATTACATCCAACTCCCCTCAGCTATTTCAGGCCATAAATGTCTAGAAGCTATCAAAAAGAAGTATATATTATCTAACAGGTGAAACACTTTATATGTATATAGGTATTTTCTCTCTTATTGGCAAATGTGTTGCTTATCTCTCTCACTGACAACACAAAACCCGCAGGTTGGTAATTTTTGTATTAATTTCCTGTGCTTGATTCAGATACCTGTTCTGACTTTGAGAAAGTAATTTTAACTGTCAGATCTCTGCTGCTCCAACTACAGCATGGAGATAATAATCCTGTGCAGTTTCTTTTACTTACTTTGACATTTACATATCGAAATAAGGTATTCTCTTTGCAGAGGGAAGATTACAGAGAAGAAATACTGTAAATGTCTTTTCACCTCACAACTCAGGGAGCAAATACAATAGAGGTTCTCCAGTATATACTTCACAAAGAAGGGAGAAAAAAGAGTGAATTCATAGTACATGATGCACAGCACAGCAGGCAAATGCAGAGTGATGACTTGCATCTACTTTTCAGAACAGATGAATGTCGTAGGGCTGTGCTGTCACGAGTTACTAAGACCTTTACCAGATGAATTCTGGAACAAGCTTGATATAGATTAATGATGTTTTAACAACCTTAACTCTACTTTAAAAGGAAACAAAAAGGAAATTACACTGCAAAGTATTTCTTATTTAGCTTTTTAACGTTCACATTCTGTGATTCTCAGTAGTTTTCATAACTTTTATTAGTTGACCTTTCCAGTAAAGAGTATAGAAATATTGTGAAGGTGGTACTCCTCTGTCTCCCATCAGTACTCAAGAATATTCAAGGATGCAGATTTCACAGCTTCTCTGGATGTCTGTTTTGATGTTTGATGACTGTCATGGTGAAATTTTTTTCCTGGTTATTGATTTGGGATTTCACTTACTGAAAGTCTACTACCTTGTGTCTTATCGCTGTGCTTCTCTGAAAAGAGCCTGGCTCCATCTTAATTATGTCTTTTTTTAGGTGATTGAACACAGCAGTAGAATTTCTCCCTTACACCTTAAGAGTAAATAAATCCAGAAAAGAAGCTGAGTTTGGTTGCCTTTGTGTTGCAATGTAGGGGATTAAAAGTATTTTACCTAGTATGATTTTATTTAATTTTTACTAGTACAGTTTTCCTACTTTCCTTTTGTCTTTCTTCTTTTCTTAACTTTACTCTTTTTACATTTTTCAAACTAAATTGTAGAGGAAATTACACTTCCACCCCTCCAAAAACTCTGTCACTGGGGTTACTTTTGTTCTAGTTCATGATTACAAATATGGTGATGTCTCGTTTATGTACCTGGTGCTGTTACTTCACAGTTGAGGTACCTTGAAGTTATTTTAGTAAGTTAGATTTCTTTGATGTGTATGTCTAAGTCTGAAGCTCTTTGGTCTGCAACTGTGAGCTTTGAATAATTTTTATGTAATTTGTTTGCTCTTGAATTACTGAAATGCAGTTTCATTCCTTATTCTGATACTTTTTATTTTGCTATATACATTATATGTAACTCTTTTGATATGTAATTTTTGTTTGAAATACTAAGACTTTTTAGACTTTGTCTTGTTTCCCCTCTACATTAGGTGTCACTATGCCATTTCAGTAACTTTATGGAGTGGCATAAGTTTTGGTATAAAAAAAAAAATCCAGATTTAGAAAAGAATTAGAAGCAAGTAGTGTAGTAGTAAATAAACATGGCAATGGTGCCTTGTGGACAGTGTTCTTGCCAGGGAGTGTGTTTAGGAAAGTGTAATTGTCTACATCAGTGCAGCAGTGTTCTGGAGTCATGGCGTGTGGTAGAGTACAAGCTGATGTACTGGTTTGGGGATCAAAGACAATGTTTGTTACCTTGGTGCCTACTTGTCAAGTTGCAAGTGAAACTGTTGCCTCTCCTGTCTGCTGAAATGTGTAAAGTCAGTTAACACCCCTCCAGTGGATTATCTCCTTCCTTCCTAATCCCCGCATGGTACAGATGCAGTTTTGCCAGGCTCTGTTATCCCCACATGTCCTTGTAACAGTTATACTGCTGACCAGACTCACTGAGCCATCTCCTTCATTAATGTCACGCAGCGAATGCTCCCGAGATTTTTGCAGATGGCTCCTATAAGCAATGCCAGTCCCAGAGAGGGGCCCAGTTGAGCCAGTGCTCTGTACTTGAACTTGGCATTTCAGGGATTTGAGCATTACCAAATGCAGCATTTTGGAAAGGCATGAGAAGACACAAGGGGAGAAAAATGGTGAAAGTTGTCAGAAAGTTGAAATTCTTTGGCAGTGTCATAAAATTCATCATAAAACTTAGCACATGATAAAAATAGGTCCTTTTTATAAAAATCTGCAAATGGTTATCTTGTTGGAGATGCACTGACTTCTGACATGGGCTTTAAATTTCCTTTTCATTCTTAAACTCTCAAGAGTTAATAGCTGATAAACATATTTAGAGTGTTATAAAAGATTGCATTAACTTCTGAGGTCATTTGGAATTGCTCTTAAATTTAATACTTATATGAGTTGTGTAGAGGAATTTATTTATCCACCAGGGTTCATCTTACCATTTTCAGTGTCTTTGCTTAGTTTTTGCTTGCTAATAACTGTGTGTCAGTCTTGGGGTTGTGGGTTTTTTTGTGTTGGTTCATTATTATTATTATTATTATTATTATTATTATTATTATTATTATACTTTTAAGTGTTTGGAAAGCATATATAGTCCGAACATTCTCAGATATCATAATAAAATCAAGTGATCTTTTATGCTGCTTTATACTGCAAGAACAATCCCTACCCACTTAAAAATTAAAAAAAAATAAAAATTCTTTTTGAATTTATGCAAAGTAAAAAAGGCTTATATATAGACTATTTGACTAAAGTCAAAACAACTTGAGAATAGAGAACACTTTCAGGCTAGCCATTTGTAAACAGGAAAGAGGTTTTCAATTATAAATATATTATTATAATTATATAATTATATTTGGTTGCTATCATATTGGTAATTTACTTGATACAATTGTCTGGGCTTTTGTTAGGGTTAAAGGATGAGCTACTACTTTGTCAAAAGCCTTTCTGAGCTACAGTGGGGTTACAGATATTTATCTTGAGTAAATAAAAATTAAATTTGCTAACTTTAATTTACTAAATTACTTCTTTCAACAACATTTCTGGTAAGTTAGAATATAGGCTTTTAAGAGCCCTGCCCTGGGACCTGAAAGAGTGGCATTGTAATGATCTCTTTAATTGTTCTTTTATCTGATTCAGGCCACACAATTATGTACAGGGCCTATTGATGAGATCCCAATGTTCTTGCATTAAATTGTATGTTGCAGAGAGAAGTCCAAACTTGGTTCAAAAATGTTCAAGTGATGGATAATATACCATGATCTTTAAAGTTTTATCAGTTGCTAATTATGTGTGTTTGCACTACTCTGCTTTTTCTTTTTTCTTCTTAGAGAGTGTTTTCGCTGAGAACTTTTTTGCTTTTCTTGGGCACAATGCTGAAATTCTTGCTGAGCTTGATTTCTGGACTCAGCATGGCTGCACATGATACCTGTGCCTTATGTGGATGTTTGTCATTATGGCGATTGTTCACATAACTAGTAAATCTACACCCTAATCTTTAACGAGGAATTTTTATTCAAATTACCCTTGGATAGACTAAGTATCTCTTACACTCTTTAGAGGATCATATTTGTTGCTTGACATAAGCAGCAAATTCAATTTTTCTATATACCTATGGCCTTTAAATCAGAAAAACTTTCTGAGCTTTGATTCTAAAATCTGCTCGTATGTATTTAAAAAACTGATAAACAAAAGACAAAAAACAAAAAGAAAAAAAAAAGAAACCCCCAAACTATCTTAAAAACCATGTTCTTGGCATGGTTTGTTACTTCTGTTCCAACACAGAAAGGACTTCATGAGCCTTTTAAAGATTGTGACTGCAGAAGGTAATTTTATTAAAAGCTGATTAATATGATTGTGGAGAATATGAATGTTGTTTCAGGATGCCTGTGCATATGTGACACTAAAGAGTGTCCAAATAGTCTGACCATGAGAAGAGCTCTTTAATTTTTATTAAGAAATTTGGAGCCTCTGCATATTCTTACATGTAAGAATACAAAAAAAGTGGACTTAAACTTCTAAAATATCAAGCTGCAAGAATCTTTGTTTCTGTCTTTTGATTTTATTGTGATCTGTAATGCAGCCCAGAGCACAGTGTCTAATTTTTTTTTAG